GTGATCTCCCGTGCTTTCCGACTAAGACTAGTCGTCGACAGCTTCAAAGCCCGGAAAACATTCCTTCATGAAAATTGTTTGCTTGGATACCTAGCATCTAGATTCATTCGGGATTGGGTCGGTTTAGATTATTTAGGTTTTTTCAGATTATTAATTTTTACTTTTTCTATATTGTTTTCAATTTCATTTAAAATATGAACTGCTAACGCCACACAATGTTAACACAAGCAAATTAACTCAAAATTAACCGAAAGGGAAAGAACGCACAAAATACGTAACAGCAACGCATTATGTTGAATTCGCGAAAGACACAAATAGTCCGTCATCTGACGCCGCGCCTGCTAACAACTCAATCAATTTTAGATGTTCATGTCAAAGCACAATAATTATGCATCTTAGCGACAATTTTGCACGTGGAGTTATGAATTGTTTATGCTTAAAACATGATTTAGCAGCAAATACACCGGACAATCTCATTTTCGTGTATAAATAAGTGGGCTTGGAAAAGCGAATTTCAAAAGTTTGTAAGTGTTTTTGGCTTAATTTGTCATATTTATTATTATTAATTAATTTATTCTTATCCGGGCATTTTTTTTGCTGAAAATGCGTAATTTGAAGTGCTCTTAAAGGAAAAAAAATTCGGAGAGACTCAAACAACACGATCAGAAAAAAAGATCTTGAACTGAAGACTGTTGTATCATTTTGATAATGTGCTTATGGAACACGCTGTATTTACCGATGATTTGTTGTTATCAGCGGACTCCAACCTAAGGCCCATCGACAGCATAGTTAGAGACTATTACATCGTGAGAGAGAAAATTGGATTTTCTCCATTCCTGACCATGCATGTAGTCGATTCAATATGTCTGGCCAGAATGACGCACTCACGTAAGCGCTCTATTACACTCACTTAATTTAATCGTACAGGTTAATTAAAGAGAAGTAATTAATTAATAACAGGCTAGGACCAAGTAGAAAATGTTGTTGAGGTTCCATCTTTGAGAATAAATAAAATTTAAACACGAATAGGGCGAACAAAGATCAAAATCGACAGGGATGTAATTTTCACCCGATTCAGATTGAAACGTGTTTTAAAAACTGAGAAATTTGCATAAATTTGAAAGTTTTCGTTTTTTTAATAGAAAATTGTTCCGTTAAATCACTACACTATAGTGAAAAATTACATTTTTCAAAAACAAAACTCAAATAGGATTATATTGAAATTTTCACCAGATTTAGATTCACATGCTTGTTATGAATTGAGAAAAGTGCAAGGTTCTACCGGTTCCAGTTTGGAAGTTCTCATTTTTTAAAACAAGACTGTTCCATCGAAACTTTTACTTTTCGGGGGTAGTAGCACGACCCTTTTGAAATTATCGATAATTTTTCACGATTGCATATTTACCATAATAATAAGGAATATTTCCTTCGTATGATAATCTGTCCGTTTGAAGTGTGCAATTATCGAAAAATTACAGCGGTAAGTGCACAGTGTGCAATTATCGCTCAACGATAATTGCATTGTTTACGAAAAATATTTGACTGGTGTTTTTTCCTGTTGAATTAGACATCAAATAATATCAAAATAAATATCGAAGTAATAGAATGAAACCACATTTACTTTGTTTACTTGGATTACTCTCGTGCATCAAAATAAACAGATAATTTTGCATTCGAGCTTGTTGTCTTGTAAAAACTACTGAGTTTCGTTTCATATTGTGGCGAAAAAGCCCGGTCCGAAGGACTTTCATGCAAAATTATCGGTAAATATTCGCTGTGTTTTTATGAAAATTATCGAATTACCATTAATTGTACATATTCAATTAATAATATATAATACAATTAATCCTTTTTTTGCCCAGTGACATTAGTATCGAAGACTCATCAACATTTTTACGTCACGAAAAAACTCAGCAGGAATATTATTGAAATCAGCTGATGATTTATTAAAAAAACACCGTTTTCAACCCCTAAACTGCATCATAATTTCCAGAATTTTCGTGTTTAAGTTTTATTTTTTCTTAAAGTTGTTCTACAAGATTTTCCACCTGGTCCTTGCCTGTTACTTAATAATTGTTTTCAAAAAAATGTTATAGTACCGATGTGGCATTCAATATTTTTAGTTTTACTGATTTATTTAAAAATATCTCTAATTGCTTGTTTAATTCCAAACAAAAAATAATTCTTCAAAACAAAAACAATTCCCTTTTCAGTGTAAGAAAAAATCGWAGTMTGGAAAAAGTRCGCGGTRGCRCMCRTCTTGGAATCCCAACAATAACAYTTAYTTTAATTCAAACTTTCAAATTATTGACSATTTATTTTGATGATAACGTTGGATTTKACTTAAAATGTGTATTTTATTTGTTGTTTCAATGTGTTAAARTTCATATTGGTGTTGTTTGCGAGTTATGTACCATTTGATAAATAATGCATTATTCTTRTTTTTTTACTCRAAAATGATGCATTATATAGGTAAAACTTAATAGAGCTTTTTTGTTTCAATTTGAACGTAAAGGTAAAMAAAATTGTAAAAGTACTTTTGGAATTGTAGAAAGTTTAGCGCAATATTTGACSACCTGGGAGTACCGCGTCAAAACGATATTTGAAACACTTCCACTGAATACCGAAATCGCAACTGAATTAAGGTTGCGTAATATCATGGATCTAATGTCTTGCTTGGATGATGGATCTGAAATAATTCGGCAAAAGTTCTCAGCCACCAACAGGTAAGCTAGTAACTCACTTATAAATATTATTATTATACAGAGCCCTTATTTTTAAGCATCTATAATAGTTCACCGTACATTACATCATCATCTAAAACTAGCACTGTCCACTAGCTATGGGGAGTGGTAATTTTTGCAAGATGCCCAATATCCACAAAATAGCACGGATAATGCGATCGATCATTGTTAGGAAACCTATGATTGCCTCAATTACAAGGCGAAACCGGCCTTTCAGTTCAAAGTTTAACTTATACTCGGGAACATCGAACCACTGGTACTTCTTCTCCTTGGTTTGATCCACTAGATAATTCAC